TGTTAGTGGGACATAGATGGATTTAACGCATGATTACGTCACTACGCGCTGATTGGCTAATTTCCTATCCAATCAGCGCCTGATCGAAGCTTGGAGAACAGGATAGAAAATTCTCGTATTATTAGCTGCATGCTGATTGGTCAAATCCAGCCCAGTCGATCACGTGAATTTTCTTCCAGAAGTTTTCTCATGTAAAGGCTATGAATAGACTAGCATTGTATTTATCTTTGCCTTCTAGCCTTCTTAGCCTTCTTCGCTTTCAAGCCTTTTTGCCTTGGCTTTCGCCATCACCTCCAGCTTCTTTTTCTTGCTATTTGGAATACAATCCTTCCTGTTCAACCGTGTTCTGATTTGTGTTACTGGTCCAGTGTTTGTGTCAAGAATACTAAGCAATAAGATTTAGCCGGAAATATCGTAAGCAACCCGTTACAACAGTGGCGACGGAGAAAAAGGAAAAAAAAATTTTCAAGATGCCTATTTCAGATGATCAGCTTAACCGAATACTACAGCAACAGCAAGCACAATTAGATGCACAAATGCGGTTGTTGGAGATCCTAACTCAACAGCTCAACATCCAGTGTTCGAGTCCCCATACTGTTTTGAATATGTCTTGTGAAGCAGTGGCTAACAGCATACCAGAATTCGTCTATAATCCTGAATGTGGAAATACTTTTCTGACGTGGTTCAAACGTTGGGAAGATACATTTAGAATTGAATTCGGTAAACAAGATGATGCATGGAAGACTCGGTTGTTGCTGCGTAAGTTGGGAAGCAATGAGTATGAACGTTACACTGACCACGTATTACCGAAGTTACCTCGAGAGCTTAGTTTCGAGGAGACAGTAACTCAGCTGTCAGATATTTTCGGCGAATCAGCATCATTGTTTAGTATTAGATATCATTGTCTAAATCTGGTGAAACACGAAGATGATGAATATCCGGTTCTTGCAGACGTCGTCAACAGAGAATGTGAACGGTTCAAGTTACGCTCGTTGACAGAAGACCAATTTAAATGCTTAATATTCATCAAAGCTCTTCAGTCACCGCAAGATGCGGAAACCAGAACTAGACTTTTGATTCGAATGGACCAAGACCCTAACGTCACACTCAGAACATTGACAGATGAGTGTAAACACCTACAAAGTATCAGGCACGACAACATGTTGATTGAACAGGTAAATCACAATTTAACCAGCAGTAGTGTCAATGCTATTACTAGGTTAAAAGTCCAGAAGCCGATAGCATCTCGTAACAAACCAACGACGGCATGTTGGTTATGTGGTGATTGGCACTACGTACGATTTTGTCCATTTAAAAAACATAAATGTCAGATGTGCCGTAAACGTGGACATAAAGAAGGCCATTGCCAACCAAATCGTACGCCTCAACCCAAGAAGAAGCGCAAACGTACTCGACATGTGGTGAAATCAGCCGAGTCTAAATCACTTTCTCTGGTAGCTGCTTTTCAAACAGAATATGACGTTCGGAGAAAGTATGTTACTATCCAGATGAACGGTGCATCAGCTCGTTTCCAAATCGACACGGCATCAGATATCACTTTAATGTCTAGAGAAACGTACAACTCGCTGGGAAAACCGCCAATGAAGCCATCTAAGAAAACAGTTAAAAGCGCTTCAGGTGGTGTGTTAAAACTGGTTGGTGAGTTCCAGTGTGAATTTTCCTTCAATGGAACAAAGTGTAGAGGAATATGCTATCTGACAGAACGGCCAAACCTTGATCTTCTTGGTCTAGATATGCTAGAAAAGCTGGGAATAATGGATGTACCCATTAATAGTGTCTGCAACATATCGTGTTCATCATTGGATACCCCGATACTTAAAAAGAAGACAGGTGAAAGATTACGTGATAAACGAAAGAGGAAGTCAGCCTCTGTTTCTCAGAATAGCCTTGGCCGCTGTACGAATCTGAAAGCTAACCTACCAGCGAAAGCAGATGCCAAACCTACTTCACGTCCGAGACGCCCTATACCATATGCTGTTCATGAGCCTCAACAAAACTTATCGGTGGGGAAGCAGCCCGATCGACGGTTGTTTAAAGATATGGTTCCTAAAAAGCAGGCGGCTCGTAAGAGTACGGTTGGCAAGACACCCAGGAAGCAGTTGGACCCTCGCGCCAGATCCTACGAATCTTCTCAAAGGGGAGGTGTTAGTGGGACATAGATGGATTTAACGCATGATTACGTCACTACGCGCTGATTGGCTAATTTCCTATCCAATCAGCGCCTGATCGAAGCTTGGAGAACAGGATAGAAAATTCTCGTATTATTAGCTGCATGCTGATTGGTCAAATCCAGCCCAGTCGATCACGTGAATTTTCTTCCAGAAGTTTTCTCATGTAAAGGCTATGAATAGACTAGCATTGTATTTATCTTTGCCTTCTAGCCTTCTTAGCCTTCTTCGCTTTCAAGCCTTTTTGCCTTGGCTTTCGCCATCACCTCCAGCTTCTTTTTCTTGCTATTTGGAATACAATCCTTCCTGTTCAACCGTGTTCTGATTTGTGTTACTGGTCCAGTGTTTGTGTCAAGAATACTAAGCAATAAGATTTAGCTGGGAAATATCTTAAGCAAACGTTACAACAACGTCTCTATGGCGTATAATTAAACGCGATTTGTGTGCTGGCTGGGTGTTTGTAGAATACACTTTCTACGCCATATCAAGACTTCTTGCTGGTACAGTTGAGACAGTCGGATCACCGTAGCCTACCCGGAGGCCGGTTCATTGTTTTGTTCTCGTTATTCGACTAAGTTGAACTCGTAATAGTTTTAAGCATACCTAGAGACGAGCATAACATCTTTTGGTTAGTTGATGGACTGCTCGCCTATTCCACAAATGTCAGTCAGTCAGTCAGATGCAACGTAGAACTTCGTACGTAAGTACATCAGTTCATGTCGCCATACCGCATCAGTACAGAGATGTAATTGTCAATTCAAATCCAATAGTAGAAGAGGTAATCAAGGTATTAGAAGTAGTCGCAGAGGTTAGGATTAGAAGATATTATTCAAGAAGTATGATTAAATGAGAAATGTTTAGAAAGTCAAAACTAGAGTTGTTGAAGAACCCAGAAGATTAGGATTTGAGAGAGAACACAAAGAATAAATGCACCGGCGCCATTGTGAACGATTTTGAGCCATGTCATTCCACAAATGACATAAGTTGTCGAATCATAACAACATGAAAATTTTATAAATCGGTACACATTTTTATAAGTTTGTATATTTTCAAAGTATGCACACCAAGTAGTCAATTAACAGCTTTCGTTTTAATCATTTGTTGAAAAATGTACATGTTTCATATTCACAGTGAAGCTAAGACTTTACACATAATAATAACAACAACAACATTAGCATAAACCAATTCAACTAAGTTTTATTCTTATTGTTATGATTTATGAGTTATGATTTTTTTTAAATACTTGTGGTGTGGTGCTGTGGTGCGAGCTACTTATAAGTAGTATATGACGTGAGTGTCAACGTAATGTCTGGTGGCAGCGGAAGATGAGGGAAGATCAAGAGAAAGGAAGAGTTAGAAGAACACAATGGAATTTGTATGAAACGCATGAATAAGTGAAATGTCAGACAATGGATTGAAGATTTGCAAATTAACCGTTTACGATATGGTTTTCCTATTTTACTGAGTAATTTTCGTTAAATGCAATTCGGTTGCCCCACCTGTGTTCTTGTTCACTACAGTGGTATTTACTCTTTTTTCTTTTGTCTACTCTCTTTTTTTAGTTTAACACCTGGTAAATTATATAAAGCTTCAACTTCTTCCGGAGCTATTACATTAGAAGTCAATCATCATATCACAATAGATTTAAATCTTGTCGATAGTAAACAAATTACATTGACAGCACATCAAGTGTTTATTCAATTGACTCATCAAAAAACTCAACAAGCGATCACATTCACTTGTACAGAAACAATTAAAAATAAACAGTCAATAAAGAAAAATTACAAATTACTACTTGTAAGTTGTTTGTTGTTTTTTTATTATTTATTTGATGCTCTTTAGTAGAGTTGGGTCTATTGCTATCCATATTGCTATCATCCCTTGCCTTGTTTTTCTCAATTCAGTCAGTCAGTCAGTCAGATGCAACGTAGAACTTCGTACGTAAGTACCTCATCAGTTCATGTTGCCATACCACATCAGCACAGAGATGCAATTGTCAATTCAAATCCAATAGTAGAAAAGGTAGTAAAGGTATTAGAAGTAGTCGCAGAGGTTAGGATTAGGAGATACTATTCAAGAAGTATGATTCAGTGAGAAACCTTTAGAGAGTTGAAACTAGAGGTGTTGAAGAACCCAGAAGATTAGGATTTGAGAGAGAACACAAAGAATAAATGCACCGGCGCCATTGCGAACGATTTTGAGCCATGTCATTCAAGGTCTCTAACCATCGATTATTATCATCTCGCGGACCCCAACCAGGTAGTCGACAATTACCGACATGGCTCAGTCCACCAGTCAATGACTTCATGGATTTGTGCCATGTTTTGGTCTGGCCGCCCCTAACTTTCTTCCAACCTACTCCTACACCACAAAACATAGCTCATCGAGGCAGTCGGTGGTTAGCCATACGTAACACATGTCCCAACCACATCAACTGATGACGTTTCACTACTTCATCTATTGATCTGCCATCCTTACCTAGCACCCGTCTCCTAACGACAGCATTGCTTACTCGGTTGTCCCACAATATACGAGCAATGCTTTGAAGACACCTATGATCGAAAACCAGTAACCTACGAATATCTTCTACTCTCACTGGCCATGTTTCACAGCCATATCGGAGAACGGAGCGAACTGCTGCACAGTACACTTGTCCTTTGATTAGAGAACGGATATCTCGCCTTCGCCATAAGTGACGCAGGTTGACAAAAGCCAATCGAGCCTTCTGTATCCGAGCTGAGATTTCGTCAGTCACCAGGCCATCGGCACTGATGAGACTCCCAAGATAAGTGAAGCGGTCAACACGCTCGACTACTTCACTCCCTATCACTAGTTCAGGTGCCGATGCAACCCAGTCTTGAAGCAACATTTTGCATTTCGAGAACGGATATCTCGCCTACGCCATAAGTGACGCAGGTTGGCAAAAGTCAATCGAGCCTTCTGTATCCGAGCTGAGATTTCTCAATTAATTCGAGAAGATTTGTTGTTGTTGGCTTATTTATTTATTTATGGAAAATTAAATATTCATTTGCTCCTTTAGTTAAATATCTCCTCCATTCAATAAAATCATCTTTGTACTTTTTTTTCTCTCTACATCAATCACTTTTTTACTACTTTCTTATTTTTGATCGATCGTCTAGGATCCAGATGCATCTGCAGCTGAATTTGATTATCTTTCAGGGATATATAAAGTCGACCTAATTGTTGGTGATTCATCGATCAAAGCTCCAATCCTTTGGCATATGGTAAGTTTGTGTGTACGTTTCAATGTTCAACTTCATGTTCATGTATGATTCATTTTTCTCATGACGTAATATCTTTCTAATATGAATTACAATGATCTAAAAACTATTCTGTTTTGTATCCAGTTTGATTTGGACCTTCGATTTATTGGTGAAGCCGGTGATGAAACGAAACGTCGTATTGAGGAGGCTACTGATATTTCACGTCAAGAATCATCTTCCCCAGCTGGTTCCAAACGTGCATTTACCGCTAGTGCTATCATTGGTTCTGGACCAACAACAGCTAAGCCAGAAATTGATCATGTGTTTCGTACTCCGGAAAAACGTGCACCTCCTGTTTTGGCTCTTTCATTTACAGTTCTTTGTCTACTTCCATTGCTTGGCTTAGTTATAGCTGTAAGTTGTTTTTTTTTATTTTACAAAATTATCCTCTTTTTATCACCTTACAATCCTATGAATATACTTGTCTCTTTTGATATATCGTAGGAATATATTTTCAATACTCTTGCTTCGGCTGTTATTGTCCCAAGCATCCTTTCAAAGTCCTTCAATGTTCTTCAACCTTTATGTTGTTTCAAGTATTATTGTCATCTACAAGTTTCTAGGTACAATTTTCCCCACTCTGAATAATATATTCTCAATTGATTTCTATGTTACACGTCATTAACAATCACCATAAAACTGAATCAGTGCTGGTTTGTAGTAAGTACTGCAATAGATCAATACTAGTCGCCGTAAGTTTGAATAATCTTTCTAATCGTCCATTCTCTCAGCACTTTTGAAAAGCTCTGTTTTATTCAATATGACACTTTATGCGTCAACGGAATTGTATACAGTGCCAAGTTTTTCTTCATCTTCATCTTAGAAAAGAATGTACCACCGGATGTCATACATCTTGTAGAGTAGGTGATACAGTCAGTGTGTGTGTGTGTGTGTGTGTGAAATCTTTTAAAGCCATATGC